GCCCCGGCCTACTGTCTCCCGCCTGGTGCAGTTCAGGCTCAATCCAAGTATGGCACACAACACGCAGAGTACGCCCCGTCCCAGGCCATCCGTTTCGTATCTTACAAGTCTGACTCTTGACAGATTATAGCTGGCACAATCGGTCATCACACCCTTTGCAATCGCCTTCAATAGGCGTTGATCAGCAGCTATACCAGCCTCCGCCGATGCTTCCGCCTGGTGGTTTTGCAGTCGGGTACAATCCCCAACAGAGCGCGCAAAGCCACTATCACCCAGCTTCCTCTTCACAGTATCTCTCACAACCAAATCTTCCACATGATCGACACTGGCCTAGAAGGCAAGCTGACCCTATGTATCCGTGTTCAGGCTAAGCATGGGTCGCTAACCATGCTCATAGTTCTGCTCTACCAAACGCCTTTCCTTCGCTTTCGGGGAGCCCTCCAGCGCTTCCAGATCATACATATGCTTCATCGTAAGCTTCTCTGAGGAATTGCAAGTAGTGGAATGGTTACTGACTTTGTTAGTCCACCATACATGCTCCAGCAATCAAGTTACATGCTGAGTCAAAGTCCCTTACTTCCGTAAGTATCCCTCAACATCTGCTTTCAACTGGCCGTCAACTGACTGAGCTATCTTTATTGCAGGCCACATCCGAACCCATTGCCCGTCAGTCCTCCGGCGCACATTGTGGCGCCCGCAGAGTCGATATATTCCTCTCCTGAATCCGTCCCTGCATCCTCAGACGTGGACCGCCAAGTACGAGTAATCAGCTCACGGCCAAAGCCACAGTGTTGGGACCATGGGTGCAATGGTCGTGAGTTCTCGACCTTCAGCAATCTACTCCGTCATCAAAGAGAGAAATCGGGTGTTGTTGCAAAGGCAGAATGCCCAAGCTGTGGTGCTGTTTTTACTCGAACAACAGCCCGCAATATCCACGTTGCTCAGGGCAAGTGCAAAAGTGGAAGAGAGTCATCGACAGATTGATATTTCCTAGCCCAGCGTTCAGTACCTCTTTATATTTATGATACCAAGCCAAGCTCACACCCGACCGCATCGTGACCTCAAAATCTATTCCTCCCAACGCATCGAAGATCAGATGACTGCAAGTCATCAAAGTTCTTCTTTGCTTTATACCACGCCAGATAACTCCTGGAATCAGACGCAGGAAGCGTGAGAGCTCATGATCATCATTCATCAATCTGAATTTAAGGGAATTTTCACTTGGGAATCTAGGTTAGCGATGAGCCTGTACTTACCACATTGAGGAAGGGTACTCGGTCTACAGTTTGTTTTAAAATAGCTGTGAAAACAAGCAACAATAATTGTCAGGTCACACCCAAAAGAACTTCATACTGAGTAGAACAGTTCAAGGAACCGTAGAGGCCAGAGTAAGCAGTAGTCCATAACTACTGTATGATATTTAGTCCAGGAGACCAAGCTCGATGCACGTGGTGCTTACATCACCAATCACCTGATCTGGCCTGTGTCATAAGTGTACGAATTGGATGGAATCATGACTAGGCCGAGTATCAGCATGTCAAGCACTTGTGACTCATTCTGTGCCATCACGATGTCGTCCGCTTTGTAGCTCAATTCTCAAACTGTGATTGATTTGTGTTCTTCCCAGCTGCTCACCAAAAGGACTCCTGCCTCTTCATTCTCGTGGCTGTTTTGAGCCTACGGTTCTATTCTCTCGATCGCATTATTATTGGATTCGCAAGATGACTTTATCAATACAGAAACTCCTCTGCCTATGTGAAAAACACTTCGCTCATCGACACGTAGTTAACCTTTTGAATGTGCGCATATTGCATCTTCGACTGATACGAATATAAGTCTCTTTTGTGTTGTTCAAGTCCAAATCTTTCGGAGACTTATCTCTTTTCTTGTTTTGCTCTCTCAACGCGGGTCAAAACAAGTGTGTGAATCATGGCATCTATTTTCACCTATGACCCGGACCCTCCAAGGGTTTCCTCGCCTTGGTCGACGTCGGGGTCGTCTACTCCCCAGCTTACGGCGAGTGGGAATCGTGGMCAGGCGATCCGGACGCGTTCTGGCACGGAATTGGACCGTGCGGATCCAGACTTTCTGTCCGACTATGGGATCACGAAACTGGAGCCCGAACCACAAGAGGGGCCCACTGAGTACAAGCTGCATCTTCTTTTGCGGCCCCGTCGCCTCTACAATTTCATGACGACTGGTCATGTAGTTGGCGGTTCGTATCATTCTCGTGCAAGCTTGTCCACCTCAGGACCGACACCGTCCAGCTACGAGTCGAACTTGAGATCGGCTCAGGTTCGGTCAACGCAGAGCCGCCAGCAACGCTTGCAGCAGTTAACGACTCAATTACTGTGGCGCCTACAACAGTCGTCACCGTTTCATTCGTCTACAACTGCCAACCTTGTGTTGCCCGTTCTTCCTGAAGCAGCTCCTCAGCTTGGTACCCCGCAGAAACCAGCTCGTTTAATTCCTGGCTTGGAGGAGAGTCAGGGGGCTTTGTATGAGATTGGCGTGGCCGATGATGGAACGTTTGTTGGTCTGACGCAAGATGAGCTAGACGAGAGCTTGACCAACCTGCAGGTCATGGCAGCCAGTTTGGGTTGCAAGGTGGAGATTCTTCGCAAAGTCATCGTTGGCAAATGTGAATGGGCTGACTGGCCGGAAGACACAAGTGCTAAAGCAGCCGATACTGGCAAAGTCCACACAGAAAGCCTCTGGGTCGCTGAGGCCCTGGTCAGTCCCGATCTGGAGTACTACGGCTTGATATCGCATCGTGATGAATTTGATGGGCAGACTACCTCGTGCAATACCCAAACGAGATCTATCCGCGAGGACAACCATTCCACGACCGAACAGATTCGGATCTCAATTACTGGCCCGAGTGCAGCCGGCAAGTCATCTCTGTTAGGTACTCTGACATCATCTATACTCGACAATGGGCGAGGGGCAAGTCGATTGAGCCTTCTCAAACATCGTCACGAGATTTCGTCCGGAATCACTAGCTCTGTTGCCCAGGAACTTATAGGCTATGCGACTGGAGAGTCAACTAATGATCCCGTGGAGGTGATCAACTATGCGTCCGGAAACGTTGCAGCTTGGGACGACATCCATGCCACGGCGAAGGATAGTCGTCTGGCATTTGTGTCAGATCTCCCTGGCTCCGTACGCTATCTCAAGTCTACTTTGAGAGGATTGATCAGTTGGGCGCCTCACTACGTGTTGCTCTGTATCCCGGCCAACTGTGACGAAGAAATGGTCCCGGAACCTGTTGGTGGCGCTACAGAACAGATGGCAGAAATCAATCTGGCTCTGTCACACTTAGATCTCTGCATCAAGTTGGGTATACCCACCGTGGTAGTGATCACCAAGATGGATGTTGCATCTCGAGCAGGCCTGCGGGGCAATCTCACGAAAGTCTTGTCAGCGCTGAAGCTGGCGGGCAAAAAGCCGGCTATGTTGCCTGTGCAATCCGCTACCGGTGAACAGGACGTGGACCTCCAACACATCTGCCGGACTGATGCAGATGAAGTCAAGAAAGTCATTGATGTAGCGAATAATGATTGGTCATCAACAGTTCCGATCGTTCTCACGAGCGCTGTCAGCGGTACAGGCGTAGGGAAGTTGCATGCTTTTCTTCGATATCTTCCTATCCCTCAAAGGCCGTCCTTAAGGAGCATCAGCCTCAGCGAGACACCGTCAGATACGCATATTCCCGCAAATTTGTTCGACATCGATGAAGTGTTTACCATTCCCCTATCCAAAGTCTACTCTACGTCGATGGAGCAGAACGCAAGGGAAAATCAGGGCGTTGTTCTATGTGGATTGGTTCGTTACGGGTCTATCTCTGTTGGAGACGAACTCTTGGTTGGACCGCTACTGGCCAATCCACAGACTGAGCCTGAGAATCTCTTGTCAGCCCCAAGAAATCAATCGGGACGAAGCAGACCGCCATCTGGGGAGTTTTCTACGTCTTTTTCACAAGGATTCTTGTCCGGAAAAGCGACTTTCCCCGCTCAAGCAATTTGGCAACGTGTACGAGTCGTCAGTGTTCGGAACCTCCGGTTACCGGTGCGAACTCTCATTCAAGATCAAGTCGGCACGATCGGTATTGAGCTCCTTCCAACCCAAGACGAGCAAGCCCCGCGTTTGGGAAAGGTACGAAAAGGGGCTATCCTAGCCGACATTGCACCCAGCGGCTCGCCCGCAAAACCCTCGCTTTTCCACACTGGATTTGTTGCTAGCTTCCCCGCCAGCGAGTTCACGTCGTCCATGTCTCCGCCTCTACTGCTAGGTGGCAACGCTATTGCATATGTTTCTAATATTCGCGCCACGGTGAAGGTGACTTGCGTCACTCTTGCGGAGGATGAGATTATCTCTTCTCCCCCATCGCCTACGGAACCGGACTTCTTCAGCTTTGACTGTGATGTTGTTGATCGTGGGAAGGGTCATGCATCAGAAGTGAACAATGTGGTCAGTTCCGCCAAGAATACAAGTCAGGGGGATGTCAAAATCTCATTTTCATTTGTTACGTCGGTTGAATGGGTGGAAGCCGGCTCTCGCGTGCTTGTCGTACCTGGCACTACTACAGCGTTGTCCCCTGCGCAAGGCTCCGCACCGCCTTTAGGGCTTGGGGGCTTTGTCGGCAGAGTCTGCAATGTCGTATCTTCGGAACTACAGGAGAGTAAATGATACTCGGGCAGGCTAGATTTCAATTGCTCTTTTTGTTTTTGGTTGTGTTTGGTTTTATTTTATCTGTTATCTCTCACAGAGTTGAATTCTCAGCTTGTTGCTTTGCCTCATAACTCTAAAATGCGAATGGAAAAACATACTTCTCTAGCTGATAAGAAGTTTCCTTTCATGCGTCTCAAATACCAATTTGACCTACAGATAGAGAGCATCTACCAGGCAGAGTCAGGTATAGCTATCGCTGGAATAGCAAACATAGCTTTGGGCGGGAACACGCAGGGCAGAGGACCGTAGGACAAGGGAGTAAATAGCCCCTAATGCACGTGTACTAATGACAGCAGGCTCTGAAGATCCGTACTGCCGTCCGACGCCAGGCAGCGAAGTGTATCCCAATCATACAGAAGTTCATCGATCTGCTCACCCTGCCCGGAGGCATGGAGAATCTCCGCAATCGCGGCATGTGTCTCGAGGAGGGCCCTACTGGGTAATTCCGAATCGCTCTGCTTGGTGAAGGTGACGATCTTCTTATAGTATTGGTCAAAGGAAGTTTGATGCCGTGGGTACATCTTGATCTCATACGTGTTCTCTGTGTCCTGGTCAAGTAAGCATATAATAATTCTATGAGTCGGCGAAACCATACAGTTGGTACGAACGCAATTCTCAGACTGCCAAAATCTCGATGGATTGATACTGCCATCGTCATTGCGTTCGCCGGGATATTAATAGTAGTTGGTTTGATGACATCCTTAATGCTGGGAAATAAAAGGTACAGTGTCTCCCAGCACTGGGAAATTTCTTTCGCCTAAAGTCCCTATTTAGAAAGTCCTTCCTTACCTATACTGAGGATAGAGACTAACCTTCCAATCATTGTCACTGTGTCCCAGAGAAAATGGGATTATATGCGCGAGCTGAGTGCTGAAAGTCATCCCACCTTGTTCTTGAAGTTTAAAGATAGGCTCAGCTACAGGATCCCATAATTTGGTGACAACACATTGATAGTTGTCTCGCTTAAGGCATGTTATCTTTAGCCACTCTTGGTCGTCTCTAGAGCTTGACTCCGTCATTCCAGACGTCACATTATATCTTGTAATATCTGTTTCTGACAAGGGCAATGTGGTGACTTGTGCTGTCTTCCCACCGTGTGCCTTCACTGATAGAAAGATATCTTAGCCACAACATAGCAGACACGAGAACAGGACCACTGTATAGTATAAGATACGTACTAGGGATGAGTATAGCTGCCCGTAGATGGTACGCCAGATCGTACAGGTCGTCATCTCCACTGATCGTAATAACCTTCGTGATGACGCGTTTGCTGACGGATGGCAGATTCTCGATAAAACTAGTGAGAATTTCGACTGTATAATCCTTTGAATCACGAGGCGTATATCTTGCCAATTTCTCTTTGGATATTCGTTCATCAGCAGCAGAATCTCCCCGGTCTGATGATTTTGAAATGGCCCTCAAAGTAGAAATAATAGAGTCATCCAACTTTTCCATTTCGAAAGGAATTAACGACTCCTCTTTTTTATCGGCAGCAGGATCTTCCAGGACTGACGGTACTGGAGATAGAGGACTCATAGAAAGAGGAGACTCAACAGGCATTTCCCTTTCAACAGCGGCTTCCATCTCAAAAGACAAGTACAAGTGCTGCCAGTCCTTGCAGAGTCATGCTCTCCAGGATTTACAGCTTGTCAGCTGAGAAACACCTCCAATGGAAGGCAAATTCCGTCAGTGGAAACTGGCACTTATGTATTAACATCGATGTAGAAACTAGAGACCAACAGCACCGGCAATATTCCTAATGCGAATTACAGTGAGCAGTGTCAGCTTAGCAGTAATGATTTTGTTTTTAGGATTCACTTGTTGGACAGGGGAGAAGACGGTAAATCTCAGTGCTCAAACAGAGAATATTGATAAGATTGAGAAGGAAACTATTTTAGTGAATAAAATGCTTGAAAGCTTGTTTAGATGAGGTGGAGTGAATGGGAGGCCTGGGTGTAGGGAGTGCATAGCCATGACTTAATAGGCCTTGGGCGATTAAGTCATGGCTACCAGGCATACCTGGTCTCCCCATTCACTATATATGGCACCTTCTGTAGTCTCCATTCGCTCCACCTCATCTAAACAAGCTTTCGAACAGTTCATTCACTAAATCAGCTTCCTTCTCAACCTTATGGTCATTTCTCTGCTTCTTCGCAGACCTTGTAGTCTACTCCCCTATCCAACTTGACATGTTTGTCGGCTGATAAGCTGTAAATCCTGAAGAACATCTCTTGAAAGGCTGGCAGTACTTATACTTGTCTTCCAAATAGAGAACCGTTGAAAGGGCAAATCCTTTGATCCTCGTTGTTCTATCGGTCGTCCAGCTCCCGTAGTATCAGACCTGGAAGATCTTCGTTCCAACGAATCCACCACCAAACCGGTGTCTGCTGTTTGAACTTTGAGGGAGCTATCAGAATCCCCAGACAGGGGAGATCTCCACGCGTGGCTTTTTCCTTCCTTGGTGGGAGCCCAGCACATCGAGGTCATAAGAAGCTGTTTCTGTGAGTCTCCTTCTATGGACTATGGTCTACTGCTACGATCAATTGGGAGCTGCTAACAAAGTACTTTAGGAGAAAGCCATTGCACAGTCCTGGGAGACCCTTTACCTTTGTTTCCCGATGTTTACAGGGTTCTCAAACCATCTGATKTGAATAGCGCAGAAAATGCCATGACGATGGCGATACCAATCCATCAAGATTTTGGCGGTCTGAGGTTCAGACCAACTGTATGTATGTGTTTCACCAGATCATAGAATTATTATATGCTTACTTGACCAGGATACGGAGAACATGTATGGGATAAAAACGTACGGAAAGTTCTCAAGTTGAACCAACACCAGCCTTCCCGCAATGAGGAAGTCTCTGGGCTGGAGTGGCTGCAGTGGCCTCAGTTCGTCTTGACGGCAAACCCAAATGGCACCAGGCGTCAGGCATCAACATAAAGTCCCCCGATCAATCATTTACTTTCTCTGGCCGCGAGCGACTCGTCACCTTCACGACGCACGCCGACTATACAATACCTAGTCGGGTCCTCCTTGAGACACATGCTGCGATTGCAGAAATTCTCCATGCCTCAGGACAAGCTGAACAGATTGATGAAATCCCTGGTATGGGAGGGAAAATCGCTGTCTCGCAGCTGATGGGAGTACAAATGTGCAAAGACTTTCTCGCTAGTATATGCGCCTTAGGAGCTGTTTTTGTTTATCCATTGCACGCAATATCTCCCTGCTCAGATCGTGCAGCTTCTGAAATGGGGCCGCGCGCAGGTGCTCTAAACCTCTTGACCTTGTCAGCATTGAGATTCCAATTCGACATGGACGGATGCCTAATCAATTTGAAACAACTTGTTAAGATATTGTACCACTACGGTTAGGCACTTAAAGGCAAAGGGAAACAAGGGCTTCTCTATCAAGAACTACCTACTGCTCCTAGACAGATGAGTACATTGTCTAGACACCTTTTAAGCCTAGTGGTATCACAGTTCAATACAAGTACTAAGTGAGTATCTGTCCAGGCACCAACATAATAAAGGATAGGCGCATGCAGTAAGGGATTATGGCACCTAATATACTTGCAGGTCCTCAGCAGGAAATGGCCTATTAGCATAAGTTCACTCCTTATCTGCTCCTTAAATATCATTCTTTTAATATCCATTTGACCTATAGATACCTAGGAATATTATGGTTTCCAACATATCAAGTCATGCTTTTATATAATCATAGCTATGTATATCATTTTTATGAGTGTCGATATGGAGTGGTTGAAGAGCTTATTCTTGAGCTGATTACCTCTCTATCTATTGCTTAATTTAGTGGGGCATAGGAAACGGTTGACATACACTGATACAAATGTAGGTGGCACGTGCGGGGGCCGGGGTAAAGCCTAAGGCCCACCAAGTCACAACTGGCTGGGACAGCCTTAGTGCCTTAGCAACACTCATGGTACAGCTGGTCACTCCACCTCATCTAAACGACCTAGCTCTCCAGCTATTCCTCTGCTTGAACAGCTTCCTTTGCAACCTTATGTGGAGCGCATCACTTCTCTGTTTGTGGGGAGACCTTTCCAGTCTCCTCCCCTATCCAACAAGTGAAACTTGACAACGAACGCACTACTACCCTACCAACCTCCCACCAGTCCCTGCGGCTGGTAGATCCCGTGTTGTCCTACGGTTCCTTTATTCTGCGTGTTCCCGCCAAAGCCTTATTTGTTGCTCCAAGCCTTCTGGTCTCTGCTTGGTGGATGCTTCATCTACTCATCAGTCCAAGCGAACGATCGTGAATCACTTAAATAACAATGGATAAGGTTATGGAATCACCGTCAGACGAAGCAGAGCTCGTACCCGAGGCCATGGCTGCAGTACAACCGGGATATCACTCCCAGGGAAAGGATGAATCTTGCGAAGCCATCATGTCGCTAGCGGACAATCTTGCACAAGTTGTTTCCTTGGGACAAGCGGCATCAGAGAATGTCAATCATCATGATGGGAATGTCGTTAGGACGGCGAAGCGTTCTACTAGGGAGATTTCTGTGGTACCCACGAAGAAGCCTCTTCATCTACTGGATTTGCCCATGGATGTCCTCCAGGACATCATAAAAGAGGTAAGCTAGCTTTCGATCAGTTGGGTCCTGGTCACTGCAGCCTTCGACCCGGTTGATTATTGTCTCTTAGTCCCGTATTGATCAAAAACCTGCATTCTACAGGTCACTCACACGAACGATCTGACATCACTGGCTCTGACGTGTTCTGCCCTCCATGCTTTGGCGATTCCCCAAATGTACTCTCGATTTGATATAGTATGGCCCGACACTCTATCGTCTTCGGATCATCCTGCTGGAGTTGACGCTCTCTCATACGGCCTCGCAACGCTGGTAATGGGAGAAGACTTGTTCCACGAGACTCCGTTCGCAGGCCGTCCACCTTGTCAGCATTGCGGTTGCGACGGTCGGCATGGGCAGATGCCTAATCAACGTGAAACGGTTACTATCCGGGAATCTGCGCAGGCACCTACACAACAAAGAACAATGCGGCACATGCGGCGGGGGAATTATTATGCTCAATACACTCGGAAGTTCTCGGTGGGAAATGGCCCTTTGGCATGGGTCCAGGAATACGCTGTGACCAAAGAGACGGGCAAGATGCTCGGGACGCTGGTTGCCCTGGCCGTGGCTCGCATGGTGAATTTGGAAACATTTATCTGGGATATGCCGACGGGCGTCGTGAGGGATGTATGGATGGCGCTTTCGTCCTTGGGTAACCGCCCTGGGCGTGACTGCCGCCTGGAACGCGTCTGGGTTCGCTGGCATGATAACACTGAAAATGCAATGCGCCCCGCGTCAGGTTTACTTCCATCCGCCTCGATGTCGCCTTTGGTCCGATATTCGCATGTTGAGTATCCTTCTTTATCGATACTGCCGCCTCTGAAAAGCCTCAGTGTGCTCGATATCGATGAGCCGTCTTATCTGGAAGAAATGGCCGTGCTCATTGATCGCTCTCGAGATCGTCTGACTGAGCTGCGAATTGGGATATCTTCAAGAGTATACCAGTGCGATTGGCTGAAACCTCGAAGCACCGTTTCTGCGCAGGGGGATGCATCCGATGAGGATCCACACAATTGGCCTAAGGCCGGTGGTGTGCTGGAAATTCTCTCTGGAAAGTGGCAAGATTATCTCGGTCACGGGGAGTTTTATGTACAGCCTTCCCCGATTAAGAAAGGGAGTGAGCAGGAGGCCACCTTTTCTACCGGGGAGCAAGCCATGTCGCACAACGAGTTGATTGAAACAATCTCTGATGGTGATAGTGATAGTTCAGAGTCCCAATCACCGAATCATCTGACGGGAAATAAAGTCGATGCATCAACTGCAGTACAGGCTGTCTCTGAGAAGTTGGATAAGATGCCCTCGGCATCCTGTCACGGCACATCTCGTCCAGAAACGGCATCGGACCGAATTCTGAGGCTAGAGATTCTTGAATTGGAGCGCGTTTTCCTATGCATTCCTGTGGTTCTACGAGTCATTGACTGGACACGAGTCACCACATTGACTATTCTTCGCTGTGACGGGCATGAAAAGCTTTGGAGGGCGCTCCGCCGACAATATGCCCCTTCGGCTTTTCGAAATACTCCAAATTATACGAAGAATCAGGATCAGGCTTCTGAGTCTGAGTATCCTCTAAAGATAAAGCACATTCATACGGACTCTGTCTCCCCTTACCTACTTCTATTCATCAAGGACGCCATCGCCCGTAACACACTGGAAACCGTCTTTCTGCACGAGGCCCCCCTGTACGACTCTATTGTCCATATCGAGGCAATCTACAGGAATATCATACGGGCCCATCGCCTAAGCCTGAAAAAGCTCTTGATCGACAGCACCGAGCGTTCGCCCAACGGAACTGAGGTGGGCACCAGTCGTTGGCGCAAGTGGATGTTCACACGTAAAATGATCTCGTTCATTACCAGCGGGCGCATGCCAAAGCTGCGTGAGCTGTCCATGACGATCCATTCCAAGGACTGGGTAAGTTTCAATCCACGTGGTGCTCAAAGCAGTTTGCTGATAGTATTTTAGCACTATTTCCTCCAACGACTCCCGTACATTCCTCATCTCCGTGCTCTTCACATCCCGCACATTGTCAATCCTGTTCATCGGAGCCCCAAAGAACTGGCGTTGCAGATCTTGGATATCGTGGCTATACGACCCGAGGTTGGGATCGGCTACATCGGAATTCAATCCAAGTGCTATGAGATCGTCGAAAGCAAGCGCGGCGATAAGAATGACGACGTAGATGATACAGACGATAGCCACAGCGAGGGGTTTGTTCCAGGGGGCGGACCGTGGCCAGCGTCGGACATGAATGAGAGCGAGGATGAAGATGGGATGGACAGCGTCATGGAGTCGGGCTCCGAGCCGTCCGATTACGGGACTTCATCCGATGACGAATCCAGCTCTGACTGTACTCGGTCCCGGACGATGTTCAGGCTCAGAGAGATCTTGTTCTACGATGATAAAATAGCCATATTTAAAGCGAGACATGGCGTTCTATAGGGTTGTTTCGGAGAAATGTTGAGATTGGCGTTGGACTGGCTGGCTTTTTTCTTTTACGAGATACCATTTAGCGATGAGTCGAAATCAATATGATTACGTGCTGCATACTTTTCGTATTTGGACGGTATGTTACCTCTCGAGAGGTAGCCATCTAAAAATGCGCATAAAGTTTAGTGGTCGATTTGAGGATATCGAGGTCACGTGCTCTAGAGCTTCGCCGTTCCTCGCAGGATCAGCTTTGAGCCGCGATCACTTTTGGGACATCAATTCGCAAGAGACTTGGCGGAGACACCTGCCACTCTTCCTGATCAACTCTACATTTTACCTCGCCTATTTCAGCTACAGCTTTTTCTCCATAGCTTTCAGTCAAAAGGAATCCGTGTGTTCGCACGTTAATATCCGTCAACATGAAGCTCGTTCGGTGAGTACATTGCAGTCGAATTGGAGTCTCGACGACAGCACTGGTTACCAGAAGAGGAACTGACTTTTGACTTTTCCTAGATTTCTGATGAAATGCGCCAATGAAACGGTGACGATTGAACTGAAGAATGGTTGGTCGTCCTAAGGACCTGGCGATCGGGCTCCAGCGGTGTTCACGGGCACACCTTGACTTGACTTTGGCGCGACTGACGGATCACTCTGCATTAACAGGCACAATCCTCCACGGCACCATCACCGCCGTTTCTCCTCAGATGAACACCTCTCTGCGCACCGTCAAGATGACACCCAAGGGCCGCGATCCCATCTCCCTAGACACGATCAACATCCGCGGCTCCACGATCCGGTACTACATCCTCCCCGACAGCTTGCCTCTGGATACCCTGCTCGTGGACGACCAGCCGAAGCCCAAGAACAAGGCGCGCAAGGAGACGGATCGGGGCCGCGGCGGCCGCGGCGGTGGTGGACGGGGGGGCGGTAGAGGCCGGGGTCGGGGCCGGGGACGGGGTCGTGGTTTCTAGACGGGCTCTGTGGCTAGGTTATTTTCCGTCTATGGCTTCGGGAGTTTACTTGTCTTTTCTTTCTTGTTTGAGATATGTTTGGGTGATATCGTGATGTGTTTTTCTCTTCTTTATGCTCTTGTGATGATGGGCGAGGAAAAGCAATAATCTACGACTTTTTCGTTGAGCTTCTTGGTTGAAGGGGAGACGGCCCAGCAAGCAGAGTGGTGGCCATGGATGCAAGGGCAGATACGGCTGATTTCTTGTGAAATGCTCTTTTGAGCAATTTTCAAAGATGTCGGTGAAGACCAGCAACAATCCTCATCCAGGCAATTGGCAACGATGCCAATCTGGTCAACGAAATCAATGGACACAGTTCAGACGAATAGACCGCAGTACCAGAGTCCCGGCATGTCATGGAAGGTACGGCAGTGCCTCACTACCTGTACCTACATCAATTGAATTGGTATCGAAATAAAAACTTCGAGGGCGCTCGGCCCAGTATGCATGTCGTAATTGGGTATATAACGCACTACTAAGAAACTTCCCTCCATATCCTCACAATCACCAACTTCTCCCACCCAGCCTGCGTCCCACTATTTCCAACAGACTCGGCCTTCCACCCCCCTCCCCACCCCCGTATCCTCTCCTTGACCTCCTCCGGCCGGTTCTGCGCACAGAGCAGCACATACGCTACCCCACGCTCGGGATGCAACACGCCCGGAACCGCCTCAAGCAACCGATTCGTCGTCTCCATCCCATCCATGCCCCCCGCATACGTCAACGACAGGTAGTACGAGTCCCGCTCGAACTTGGCCGACCTGGACAGCGGCTCCGCCGCGGTCTCGGCTTCGTGCTCCGTCACCAAGGGCAGACGCGGGAGTTCCTCCGTCGGCACATACGGCGGGTTGAAGAGAAGGACGTCGACGAAGCCCGTGCGCAGCGGGCTACAGAGATCACCCAGCACCGAGGCGATATGCGCGGATTTCAGGGCTGCGGCTGCTTGCCGCTCTTGGATGGCTGTTTGGACTGTTTTGCGTGTGGCGACGCAGGCGTTGCGGTTCACGTCTGTGCCGAGGGTGAGGATATCGCGACGGCCGAAGATCTCGTGGGAGTTGGCGGCGACGAAGGCGAGGACGACGCCGGAGCCGGTGCCGACTTCGACGACTAGCGGGGAGGCGGTGCTCGTGCTATTGAAGCGCTCGGAGAGCCATTGTGATTCGGACGCGGAGGAGAGCGTGTCGAGGAAGAGGTAGGAGTCTTCGGAGGGTTCGTAGATGGTGTCGAAGGAGACGTGGTCTGTCGATGGGGTGGGGAGCATTTTATGCAGCCTCGCAGTTTAGTATTGATATCGATAGTGAAGCTATCGGCCCGAAATTTTGAAGCTTTGAAGCATTCAGTCGTCAATTGGCGGCGTGGTCGTCAGGTTACAATGCTCTTGATGTAGCCCCGGCTCAATTAACATTAACAACCTGATCACAGTCAGCGTTCTTCAATTCCAAGCATGCTTCACCTCGCAAAACGTACCTGCATGGACAATGGAAAAGATTAAACGGTAACCGCTGCGGAATGCCGACACTATGATTCGCCATCTCCTCGCCGCCTTCCGGGATGCATCTCCAACCGCGGCAGTATCATCATCATTACCATCATACAGTCCTCAATTTCCACGATTTATCCCCTCAAGCACTCCCCGAGCAAACGACACCATGCGTCTCTTCCACAGATTACTAATGGCCACGCCCTCAACAATGGGCTCCAAGTCCAGCCTCAGCGAAGCCCTCGCCCTTCTCCCCCCGCTCCAACTCTACCGCCGCATCCTCCGCGTCCACCGCCGAAAGCTCGATCCCGAGATGCGCATCCTGGGCGACTCCTACGTGAAGAGCGAGTTCCGCGCACACAGGAACGTCGAGAACCCGCTGCATATCGTACGCTTCCCCTTCTTTTTCCCCCCTAAAGTCAGCGGGTAAGGTGGAGATGCTAAGGCGAGCAGATCGGCTTCTTGACGGAGTGGCAGCTGTATGCGCAGAAGCTGGAGGGTGATGCATGGGTTGGGGAGAAGCTGGATAAGTCGAAGCTGGAGAAGATGAGTGGTGGGTTCTACATCTACAATCCTATATTTTGGGTCCGGAGTATACTGATGCTGATTTGTGTCTGTGGCTATAGATCAGCAGATCGGGCAGCTGTATGAGCTCATGCAGGCGATCAAGAATCCGGACGGGGAGGGGAAGGAGTGATGAGTGATACCCTGATTTCCCTATCATCGGCTAGAGCATGCGCATGCAGGATGGAGGTGGATGGTCCGTCTAGCGGCATGCGGTCGAGTCGAAGAACCGGTAACGACCTACGGAGTATGAGGATCTGATAATCCTCAGTGTATATTATCATGCATCGGCACAAAATGGCTTTCTATGAGGTGGATGGCATTTCTCTCATGTTCACGGCGTTGATGTACATACTTAGCTTGCATTGGTTCAGCGGAATAAGATTTCATATGCATGCAGCTGGCTCTCGGGATCATAAGCGCTAGCATGATCATCAATATGGAATTAACTTCCAATTAGCTTACCAGTTACAGTATTCAGCCATGATTTCCTCGGTAGTGCCTACATATCAAATGTTGTGTATATCAGTTATCAAATTACACTTCACGCCCTGCCATCTACAAGCAATGACTAATCACCGTCGACCAAGAAAATATACTTCGGCTGGCGCCAGATAAATTGCCACCCATACTCTGTAAATAAAGCCATTCCCCTCCAGAATAGACATCACATCTCCTACCCAACAACAAAATGCCATCCAAAACAAGCATCATGGAGAACCCCTCCTCCAAAATCCCCCCTCCCCCCTCAGCCCTCCAAAAAGCCCCAGCCCTAAAACCCCGCCGCGGACTCCTAAAGGATGGCACACCCGTCACACTGTACCCCATTGCGCACGGCGCCTCGAGCATACCGTCGGGCCTGGTGGCGGTGCTCGCCGAGGAATTCCGCGCGGAGGTCGAGGGCGGGTGCACGTATCCCATGGAGGAGCCGATGAGCGACGACAAGTTCGCCGAGTACTGGTTTGGGACTTTTGCGGTTGTGGCGCTGACAGGGGACGAGGACGAGATTAGGGAGGGGAGGGATTGGAAGAGGGAGTGTTTGGGGACGTTTTATATTAAGCCAAATTATCCTGGTAATTTACTCCGTGCAAACAGTTTTGATTGTAGTGCTGACGGAGCAGGCCGGTGCTCACACGTCTGCAATGCGGGATTCCTGACTACGACTGCGGCAAGAGGCCGAGGGGTAGGAATAGTTATGGGAGAGACGTATCTGGAGTATGCTCCCAAGCTGGTAGGTTCACAATGCTTGCTGGTGTATGTTGCGTCAGACCAATTGAGAATCCATAGGGGTACAAATATTCGGTCTTCAACCTCGTGTTCGAGAATAACGTCGCCTCGATCAAGATCTGGAAGAGACTCGGGTTTGAAGTCATCGGGCGAGTGCCAGGGGCTGCACGGTTAGAAAATAGCGAAGACTTGGTGGATGCATTGATCTTTGGGAGGAAGCTGGGGGAATAGATGCACATGCAGAATAAAGAATTTGATGTAAATAGAACAAATGTATCCGCAAGGTATCACACAATGTATTGAATAATTAAACCCATACACCGAAGAATGATCTGTAAGTTCCTAAGCACAAATAGTACAATCCGCCGCTAAAACAATGCGAATGGGGAATCAAGCAAACCCAGTCTGTCCTCAAACAATTTGGTATATGACACCGCAAAGAACAAGCGAGCCGTAAATGTATGTGACCCTAAAATGAAACAAGAAGAGGAGAGGTTGCAGATGTTTGAGCAAGAAGATGGAATCAACGCCAGGGTGGTCGGTCACTGAGCTTGCTGCGCGAACCCGCAGTACTATCTCCGCCCGACCGTGGCTTGGGAAGAGGAAGCAGACTGACACGTCGGTTGCCTGTTCCCGAGTGGCCAAGCGAAGTTCCAGGACGAGTTGTCTTTGTCGGACTCAGCATACCTGAATCGTGCGTCTGTGACACACTGCGGCTGAACGACATTCCAGCGTAGCTCTGCCGGTTGCGAGGGGTATTGGTCAGACCAGCTGGGCCCAGCTTCTGAAGCTTGCTGTATGGAGGAGGATCAAGAATGGAACGGCGAGGCGACGGAGATGCCGCCCGCGCCGGGCTGCGAGAGGCGAGTCTGCTAGAAATACGACTGACKGATCGGGATGTCGAAGGAGCAGGAGAGGCAGACTGTTCTCGCCGATACGGGCTCGGCATCGGCAGAGTGGACGACGGTCGCGACGTACGAGCTGGAGCAGATGATTTGCGGAACGGCGTGCTGGACCTGTAGACGTGACCAACGTCCAGATCGTTGGTGTTGGTGCTGGTGGTCCACCGTGGACGGTTGTTCAGCGGTGAAGGCGGTGGTGGCAGGCGCGAAACCTTCCGCGTCGCTGGCGTCGGAGTGATGGCTGTATCTTTCTTGCTAGGCGACGTAGCCGAGAACGTAGGCTTCGGGATGGCTGATTTCAGAGCCGAGGCCGCCTGCGGGAGTCCGGAGTATCGTCGAACCTTGGACATAGTGGTCCGCGTGGCAGAACTACCCACGGAGCTACCACGCCTGCTTGAGGGGTTCAGTGGTGTGGTTGAGCCCTTGATACCATTTCCGGGCGTCATGATCACCGACGAAGCAGGGGAGCTACCGGGGGTGTCGACAACGCTGCTCGCAAGGGGGCTGTCCATTGTGACGATGGTGGATATCGAGTCCCGCAGGTGCTGTGACTTGGCGAGATTGAGATCGTCCAACGAAGAGTCCATCACCTTGATACTTGCTTTGAGAGCGTCGATCCTGGATGACATGTCTGACAGAAGCCTCATAATCTCTCCATTCACCGTGAGTCGATCCTTGACACCCTTTTCGATGATGGAGATCACCCGTTCAATGGCAGGAACATAATGGACCTTCTTGGCCTCGTAGCTCTCGATCCGCTTCGTTAAGCCAGCAGGATTATGCAGATGCGCACCCGTCTCGATCCCTTCCTGGAGCTTGGCAATGCTTCTCTCGACCGACTCAAACATCTTGTGTGCCTGTGCTCCAGCATTGCGGAAAACCAGAATCCAGCGGTCCTCGCCGAGCTCTTTCCGCAGAGCCTCCGCATCGGCCTCCAGCACTTTGTAGCTCTTCTCCAGCTGATCTCGCCGGTCTTCCAGCTCCTCGCAGGCACTGGGGAAGATGCGCTCGGCCCGTGATTGAAACATGGACAATCTCATGGGCAGGAAATCTAGGGAGGCCCTCAATGGTTGCATCCGAGCAAACAAAGCCATGAGGCTGGAGTGGGAATCATCCTGAGGTGTCTGGATAATCGGCATACCCATGGGCGGTGCCTCAGAGAAGATGGGCCCCATGCTGAAGCGTTTGCTTGCCATGTCGCCATTCGATGGCGTCTCCTCAACGATTGTCTCAAGTTCATTGATATCAAGGCCGTTGCTGGTCCCTTCCTGCTCATTCGCCATCGTGAAGTGTCGCTTCTCCTCCATCTCGAAGATCAATCGGCTGAGATTCTCAATTTCCATGCCGACATCGCCTAGGACATTAGCCCATAGCTCTTCCCACTCCATGGCTAATTCTACCTGCTCCTTGACGCCCTTCAGTCGCGCTTTAATCTGCGCCCAGCTCTGGATAATGGAGTCCATTTGAATGACGATCGTCTTCAGACTGTCCGGGCTGACGTTGCCTATGTCTTGGCGCAGTTGAACCTGTTCAATAGCGTTGACATAAACGTGAACTAAGCTTTCAAACCGTGTGATGGCTTTGTCCACTCCCTCTAATCCTTCTCGTCCGCCGGCTGCGGCCCACTCCACATCATCCTCCGCGTCCAGGCCACTCAACACATCAGAAGCCTTCCTGATCCATATCTGAATCTGCTCCGCAGCCCCTGTCAACGCCTTCACAGCAGCGGGTGCATTTGAGATCCCAGCTATACTAGCGGCCAATGACTCTGGTTGTGGAAGAGTGATTGAGGTGAGCTGCGAGAGTTGATTACTAAACGAGGCTCTGGAAAACGAATATATTGATTCAGTGCGTTGCAAGCCCTTTGGGTTGAAGTATGACTGCACATTCGAGGAGGAACCAGACAATGGAGGAGAATCTTTCGGGGGCGGGGACGGGCGAGGCGATTGCGCTTCGTTATCGCTAGTACTCTGAATGTATTTCTCAAAGTCCGTCTGGTCGGGAGCCTCGGATGTTGTCGTGGACCCAATTGCCATCGGCATCTGAGACTGCTCCACAGCAGACATGGCTGATGTCTGTTCCACCGCT